CCAAAATTTGTCGGCGGCATGTGTCTTCATCGTTGTTATTATAAGTCAAAGTCATGAAATATTGACTACTATAGATACCACCAAGGGCGAAGGCTGCCTACCTAGCTAGCAGCCTGCCTACCTAGCGATTGACCAATTGTAGGATTTAGTAACTAACCCCTTGGTCCTAGTTGTCAAAGAAAAAATACCCCACCAGACAGTAAGCAGAACCTAGTGTGTAATTTTATTCAATATTTCTATTTAAGTGTTTCCATCCTAAACAATTTTGCTCTTTTTACCGATTCCATCAGGAACCCAGCATCTTAGATTTTATCAGCGGTCGGCATTTACAGTGTTAGATAAAGAAACAAACGAAGGCAGAAAAAGCCAAAGGTGTGAAGTAGAGTATTATTCCTACTTCTTAGTCTTCGATAACGCAAGAAAGAGCATCCATGGCCCAACCACCAGATCCAAGTCAGTTCTGTGCTGATCTGACTGAAAATTATATCCGGTGCCATAACCAATGGAATGAAGTAACAATCCCTATTGATGACATGGTCTGTGTTCTTGCCGGAACTGTGGGTTCTAAAGTTGGCTACAAATTGCTGTTTCTCCAGAGAAGACCTGAGGACATCAAGACAGAGGATACGGCGTATTTGGAAAGTATTCAGCTTACATCTCTATCGCCCACACTGCGTTCCCAGTACTTGTGCACAGAACTCCCTCATCACTTGTGCTCACACGAAACTGAAATCCATATAATCGTATCCACAGCGTCGGGAACAGGGGCTGCCAAGAATTTGTACAAAAATATTCTACAACCTTTCCTATTGCAACTTGCCATATGTGATTACAACGTCCATGAGACACGGTCCTCACAGACGATCACCGAACTATGCAACTCACGATTTCTTCCTTGCGCCCAGGCGGGTATCCAGCAAACCATCATCCTCCTCTCAGGGGATGGAGGAATAGTCGATGTAGTCGACGCGATATATAATACCCCGTGGCACTTGATCACCCGGCCCACCATTGCCTTAGTCCCAACAGGAACTGGGAATGCAATGGCTAGTTCCCTGGGACTCACGTCATATCCATCATCCTGGTTGAAAGAGCTGCTGCGAGGAAGACCGAGGCCTTTACCGACCTTCGGTGCCAAGTTTTCCCCCGGCGCGCAATATGTCACCGAGGAAGGCCGTGCTCGGTCTAGTATAAGTTCCAACCTCAAAACTAAGTATGAAGTTCCGAAGGTACATGGTGCGGTTGTTGCAAGCTGGGGCATACACGCCGCATTGGTTGCCGATAGTGATACCACTGAGTACCGCAAATTCGGTGCTGATAGGTTTAAATTGGTTGCGGAGGAACTTCTCTTCCCTCCGAGCGGTGCCGAGAGCCATAGATATGCTGGTACAATTAGTCTCACCAGATGGGATAGTCAGACTAACAGCGAATGTGCGGAGACCATGGAGATCAAAGAACACATGTATGTGCTGGTAACGATGGTCCCTAGACTTGAAAGAGAGTTCGTGATCTCACCCGAGTCTGTTGCACTGGACGGTCGCTTGAGAATAATCCACTTTGGCCCGGTACCTTCCGAAAAAGCTATGCAGTTGATGGCCTCCGCATATCAGGGAGGTCAGCATGTGTTTGATAGGAGTGTTTTCTACTCGGAGATTGAGACACTTAAGATTGTATTCCGGGAGACGGATGAGAGGTGGAGGCGGGTGTGCATTGACGGCAGAATCATTGCAGTCGAGTGTGATGGTTGGATGGAGATATACAAGGAGCCAGAATGTCTATTAAACATCCTGACATCCGTTGGGGTTTAATATTACTGACTATTCAGCGTATATATGTTTGCACGAGAACTTCCTCCCCTCTCGCCCCTTTATCATTAGACAGCAATTCAAACATCTCTTGCCTTAAATAATATACTTTACCTTCCCTGTCTTTCCACTGATTCTGTCTTGGAGGCATTTGATCTAGATTTGTTATATCTATTGATTAACTAAGTAATGAAATAGGCTCGGTTCAGTCTTGTACTATGATTACTCTAGATAACTAGCACACTGGTTGTACTACATGTGCAGAATATATACTTGGATTCTTGCCTCATCTGGTGCCAGATTGAACATTCCTAGGGTGTTGTGGTCGATGAGTGGATCAAACTGACCATACATAACATGTGTGGGCTAAGTTCTAATTGTACGCAGAATTGATTTATTAGGTATCCTTTGAGTGTATCTTTGTCCCCACTGAATACAATTGATATACCTTCAGAGTGTAAATTATCTACGGAGTATAGTCCAGCCAATTTCAAGCCGAAAATACCTCTCTGTACGGAGTAGTACTGGTACTACTAGTAATACGGAGGAGATACATACTTTCTTTGTACCAGGGTTTCCTCGTCATGATTGGTTCCTGGCAGTATGGTAAGTGGGGGCAACCTTGAATAAGACGCATGTACTCCGTACTATTGTACTAACTGAGTACTTGCTAAGTTCCTACTTACGGATAACCTCTGTACGAAGTACCATGCAGTCTTCCCTATGATTATCCTTGCTCGCCATCAACAATTGATCAGACCCTTGATATAACCTCCAACGCTAGACGCGCTGCCAGTATCACTTACTGAGGACCATAGACTTTCATGCATGTGACCCAGAAAACCTCCACGACCGACAGCCATCTTGACCAGTCCTATAATGGGAGCAGCTGAGTCTGGTATCGATGCTTATCAGCCCTCGAACTTATCACGCTTCACAGATACCAGATCGAGGACAACAGCTCCACAGCAGTGAGGATAACCCGAGAGTTCATTCGCTTTTCGGGTGGAGTACTAGTTCTATGAATGAAAGGCGAGCCGCCAAAATGCTATTGATTCACCAGACGGGCAGTGTGCGTGTGGGTGAGGTGGTCAGGTCTGTTGCCATTACTATGATAGCCTTGGCCAAGCCCTTCCTGTTCGCAATACTGACCTTGACCTTGCTGTAAACAGGTACACAGTAACGTACACACCGGCAGCCGACACCGCCAGTCCCATCCCAGGGGAATTATTTGTAAAAGTCAAGAATACATCTGCAATTCCTCTCCGAGCTGCCTATCTTCATGGCCCATATACCCTCTATACGTCTTGCTATCCATCCACATTCGATCCAAACGTCAAAATCGATCAGCAAGCCACCGAAGGCATTCCGCAGTTTGAACCTTATCTCAAAGCTGGGGGCAGTTGGAGTGCCGTCATCACCGTGCCCCGGCGTCTTCGTCAAAAACCGGAGGTCGCTTCTACCGAGCCCCGAAGTCACCAGAAAGTAACGTGGATCATAGAGATATTATCCCAAGTGATATTTTCGAGCACTGCATCCGTCAACTTTGAGCTTTTGGTAGGCCGCGACCAAAAATCAGTGGAGCTGTCTTCGTCCGGTGCAGCATCAACCACTGGGCTTCAAGCAGCTCAACTAAGTGACCACTGGTTACCCAATGCAAAAGGCAAGCAAGTGTTTGCTACAAATGGAGTGTATTCCAGAGCTGTAACGTTGCAGATAGATGATACTGCGAGCCTCTGGAACACGCCTGCTTTTCCTTCGTCCGACAAAAGCTGTAGGGCGGAAAAAGATAAGGGACTAAACGAAGCCAGTCCAACAAGCAATGCCGAAGCATCGTCGAGATCTAGCGAGCCAATTGATCAGTCGCAGAACAACAGGTGTAGAAAGAAAATACATCTTGTGGTTCTGACTCACGGCCTACATAGCAACCTTGGTGCGGACATGCTTTATCTCAAGGAGAGCATTGATACTGCAGCCAGAAAAGCTAAGGAACAGGCCTATAATGCTCGTCGGAAACATAGAAGCGAACAGAGAAGCAACGATGATGATGATGATGATGATGATGATGATGATGATGATGATGATGATGACGACGATGAGCAAGTCGTTGTTAGAGGATTTCCCGGAAATGCAGTCCGTACGGAACGCGGGATTCAGTATCTTGGCAAGCGTCTTGCCAAGTATGTTTTGCTAATGACACACCCAGACCAGCCTTGCAATCCTTGTCACAATGCAAAAGCCAAAACCCTCCCGAAATCTTTCGCCGTCTGGAGGAACGCGGCGGGGGAGTCCCCTAAGGACCGTACAGCTTCTGTACCAGGGTCAACTGGAGGGGGCCATACCTATCGAGTCACTAGTATCAGCTTTATCGGCCATTCTCTCGGCGGTCTCATTCAGACATATGCCATTGCATATATCCAGAAACATTCTCCTGAATTCTTTGATGTGGTTAGGCCCGTTAACTTCATCGCCTTAGCGACTCCTTTTCTCGGCTTGAGCAATGAAAACCCTATGTACATCCGCTTTGCCTTAGACTTAGGTCTGGTTGGTCGGACGGGCCAGGACCTAGGACTCAGCTGGACAGCTCCTCGAGTGAGAAGTGGCTGGGAAGCTATAATTGGTGGGAAAGGCAATTCCGCCAAATCACAGGGTCAACCAGATGCCGGATCAAAACCTCTGTTGAGAATCCTTCCCTGTGGTCCTGCACATGAAGTTCTCGCCAAATTTCAACACCGTACAGTCTACTCCAATGTAGTCAATGATGGGATTGTACCTTTGAGGACATCTTGTCTCCTGTTTCTTGACTGGAGAGGACTAGAACGAGTTGAAAAGGCAAGGAGAGAAAATGGGATAGTTGGCACAATGGCTGAATGGGGGTGGGCTGAATTGACTGGCGCAAATTCAAAGTCGCCCCGGACGGCTCGTTCTGGTACAGAATCGGAATGGAAAGATACCGATGAGGAAATCCACAAAGCCCATAAACACATACCGACAACGCAGATATCTTCGCCTAGTGTTACGGCACCTGCCAGTACCCCGATACCTCATCAGCCATCGGATCAATCCCAACATTCAATTTGGCCTAATACGACGATAGATGCAGCTCCAATTGACAACCAACCTGTAACCTACGGCCCCTTGAGCAATCTCTTTACTATATTCCGGCCAAAAGAAGCTGTTAAAATATCCTCTGGGCACAAGCAATCTAAGATGCTTAAACGTAGCCAGACACTTGGCGCATCCAGTGGTGTTATACGGGGGCCGCCGTCTCCTTGTGCCCCTACCCATGAATCATTTGTCGATAGCCAACTGTCTGACGACCATGGGCTTTATGCGCCACCAAAGACTACTCTTTTTGAGTCAGCAAGTGATCTTCTCATGCCACCCCTTCCTCCTATTGAATTTATAATTGATCCTACTTCAAGACCTCGGACTATTTTCCATGACCGGGTCTATAGCCCTGAGGACATACCTCCTCCCTTAACTCCCAAGAGACGAACCTTAACCTTTGGTTCTTCTCAAAGTAAGGCCGCGAAAATAGGGCCATTTTCATCGGATGAATCTACGCATCATGACTTACATGAGAGCGAGAGTGGGCTCAAAGTCGAAGAGAAGATCGCCAGGGCTTATCATCGAGACTTAACGTGGCGAAAAGTGCTCGTTCGTCTTGAACCAGATGCACACAACAATATCATCGTTCGACGAATGTTCACGAACGCGTATGGTTGGCCCGTGGTAAAGCACCTTGTTGATACTCACTTTGGGTATACATCTGCGGCCCAATCTGAAGATGACTCCGCGAAAAGAGTAGAAAGGGCAAAGCCACTCGCAGTCCCCACAAATAGCTTAGGTGAGGAAGTGCAAGGACAGGAGGATCCCCCTAGAGATGATTCGACTTGCGCACGAGAGCTCCCAGGCAGTCGAATCGCCGGGGTTGGTTCTCCTGACCAAACTAGGCCCAGCGTATCTCAATTCAAAGAAGTTGGCTAGTTTCTCCGTGCAAGTAGAGGTTTATGTCTTGGATCATGCCTAGTTTATTATTTCACTGCTCCATTTCTTGTGATTTCTCTCAAGCTCTGTTCATTGTATGTACATACATAGACACAACGGGGCATCCTCCCGTGTATATTCGTTGGTGGATAGTAATATCTCATTGGTTTCTCAACCCCCATCCTAGGAAACTTTCCCCTTTCTCCCTCACACCTTGTCTCCTGCTCTCTTCCTGTCCCTTTTTTTTTTACACGAGAAGGCATAATCTTTGACCAGCCGTATTGCTGGTAGGCTTGTGTCAGTACGATGGATACGTCAATACTCAAGCCTCCCTTGAATATTTCCCCAGAATTCCTCAACAAGCTCCCTTTGACCAATCTGGTTTGGAGAAGCTCTGACAGCAAGGTAGACTCTTCCGTCTATGGCGGCCTGCCACCCGCCGGGATTACCGTCAACCATTATGCCACCGGCCTCGGTGAGGATAACCCAGCCAGCGCACACATCCCACGCCCAACAACCGCCTTCCCAGTACAAGTCAAGAGTTCCAGCGGCTACCGCACAAAGGTTGAGTGCAGCCGAACCCGTGCTACGCATCGAACGAACCATTGCGCCGCCCTCATCTTTAGATTGGCCGAGCTTCTCCAAGGTTCGTACCTTTGTTTCCCAATTCCTCCCCTTTCTATCGGATCCCCATTCAACACCGATGAGAGAGTTCTGCAGGCCTTGCAGTGGCTCGAGGTCTATTCCCTTGAGTGGAAGTTTGGCACTGCGGTTTAGGAACGCCCCCTGGCCACTAATGGCAGAATAAAGGGTCTTATCGAATGGGTTGTATACAATACCAACCACGGGAACCCGGTCAACGGCGAACCCAAGAGATACACATGCATGGGGGAAGCCGTGCACAAAATTAATTGTCCCATCGATGGGGTCAATCACAAAAGTGGGGGCAGTAGTCAAGGGATGACCTGGGTCATATGTCTCTTCTCCATGGAACCTAGCGATGGAGTAAGGAA